TTCTTAAAGTGGCACAAGTAAGAGGTGCCACAACAGGATTTGTGCCCCAAACATTTAGGTTTTAAGTACCATTTTAGGTGCCCGAGTTGGAAACCCGGTCCCCATAACCCTTTACAGCAAGGAGGAGCCCACCCTGGAAGAAACCAACACAGCCTCCTGTAGGTTTTAAAGCCTAAGAAGTTTATTTGTTTTCCTACGCAGCAGTCAGTTGTGACCCAGCTAAAGGTGACAAGTGTAATGTAGTGTCATCCTACCAGCATTACATTGGAAAAGTGAACCACCCTCTGCCTGCTTCCGAGCCACAAGGAGGAAGAGCAGCCATGGGAGAGCTACAGCCTAATGGGGGGGGTTCCATCACTACTTAAACCAAGGATAAGGAACAATTCTGGCCCAGGGCATCCCTCTAGAAGCACTTGCGGTGGACAATGGAGGGACCAGACTCGTCGTACTCCTGCTTGCTGATCCACATCTGCTGGAAGGTGGAGAGTGAGGCCAGGATGGAGCCTCCGATCCACACCGAGTACTTGCGCTCCGGTGGGGCGATGATCTTGATCTTCATGGTGCTGGGAGCCAGGGCTATGATCTCCTTCTGCATCCTGTCAGCAATGCCCGGGTACATGGTGGTACCCCCGGACAGCACGGTGTTGGCATACAGGTCCTTGCGGATGTCCACGTCACACTTCATGATGGAGTTGAAGGTAGTCTCGTGGATGCCGCAGGACTCCATCCCCAGGAAGGAGGGCTGGAATATGGCCTCAGGGCATCGGAAGCGCTCATTCCCAATGGTGATCACCTGCCCATCAGGCAGCTCATAGCTCTTCTCCAGGGAGGAGGAAGAGGCAGCTGTGGCCATCTCCTGCTCAAAGTCCAGAGCAACGTAGCAGAGCTTCTCCTTGATGTCCCGCACGATCTCTCTCTCGGCTGTGGTGGTGAAGCTGTAGCCCCTCTCCGTGAGGATCTTCATGAGGTAGTCAGTGAGGTCACGGCCAGCCAAGTCCAGACGCAGAATGGCGTGGGGCAGTGCATAACCTTCATAGATGGGCACAGTGTGGGTGACACCGTCCCCAGAGTCCATGACAATGCCAGTGGTGCGGCCAGAGGCATAGAGGGACAGCACAGCCTGGATGGCTACATACATAGCTGGGGTGTTGAAGGTCTCAAACATGATCTGGGTCATCTTCTCCCGGTTGGCCTTGGGGTTCAGGGGGGCCTCAGTGAGCAGGACAGGGTGTTCCTCTGGGGCAACACGCAGCTCATTGTAGAAGGTGTGGTGCCAGATCTTCTCCATGTCATCCCAGTTGGTGACGATGCCATGCTCAATGGGGTACTTCAGGGTGAGGATACCCCTCTTGCTCTGGGCCTCGTCGCCTACATAGCTGTCCTTCTGCCCCATGCCCACCATGACACCCTGATGCCGGGGACGCCCCACAATGGAGGGAAACACGGCTCGAGGAGCATCATCCCCTGCAAAGCCTGCCTTGCACATGCCGGAGCCATTGTCCACCACAAGGGCAGCGATCTCCTCATCTGCCATGCTGACCGGGCCTGAGGTGAGCAGGAACAGGGAAGTGTCAGCATCCCTCCTCAGAGAGAACACAGCAGGAACATCAGGGAGCCCTGACACTTGCCCCCATGCATTATAGGCCTAAAAGGATTTATCACCCTATGGAGCCCCAGCAGCAGTAGTAAGGATTTGCAGGCAAGATAGGGTACTGAGGCATCTAAAAGCCTGCCCCACAGGGCCTGAGTTAGAGAGGAGCCACCAAGGAAGCAGAACACCCATTCATTCCCCAACCATACATGTATTTACCCTCAGCTCCTCAGAGGACATGGAGGACCCTTCCCCTCCCTCCCCCGGGGCCTAGAGAAGCAGCAGGCCTCGCGCAGGGGAGAGCCCCCAACAGAGCCCCCACTAACGCCTTCACAGGGAACAAAGCCCGGCCCCAACACAAAGCGCTGGCCCCTTCCCGGGCCGCATCTAGCGGCGGGGATCGCAAACCCGATACCAGGGACCGGCGAGACCGAAACCGGGGCCACCTCAGCGCTCACCTGCGCGCCGCCCCTCGCACCCGCACCAGCGCCTCAGCAGTGACTGCCGCGCCCGGCCCCGCGCCCGCGCCTTTATCCTTCCGGAACCGGAAGCTGCCTTACGTTCCTCAATGTAATTGGCTCCCGGGTAAGGCGTAACCCCGCCCTCTTTCTCTTTTCCCTTTACCCGCTTCCGCGTGTGCTCGCCTTCCGGTATTCGCGGGCCGTACCCGGAAGCGGGGCGGGCGTTTCCGTTTGCTGGGCCCCGCCTCCGCCGCCCCGTTTCCGGCTGCTCTGAGGCGGGGCGGTGCGGCGCGGGGCGGAAGGAGGCAGTGCTGCGGGCGGAGCCGAGCCCAGCCGGCCGCGGACGGGCGGCAGCGACCCGGGCCTGCGGGAGGTAACGGACCGGGGGGGGGGGGCGGGGGCGGTTGTACCGGCAGAGGGAAGCGGGGCGGGATAGGCCTGCACCGGGCCCGGTACTGAAGCTGGGGGGAGCAGGCCTGCACTGGAGCCTGGTACCGGAGCTTAGGGGCGGTTTGAGGGCTGGGTGCAGCCGCCCTTCCCCGGGTGGGTCCCGTCGGAAGAGGGATTGGGAGCTCAGTGGAGGCTGTGGGGCATGGGAGGCCTCCGGTGTTACCGGGGTGGGGGGGGGTCGTTGTTTACCATCTCCGGAGAGCTCCGTAGGGCTGGGCGCAGGCTGGCCGCGCCGCTCCCCTCTCGCTTTAACTCTTGCAGGTGTTTCCCGGTGGGAAGGGTCGGTTTCCCCGAGTGCTCTCCCCAGCACCCTGGTCATAAACATTCCAAGCCGGGGGCTTTCTAGTGAAAACGCTCTCCCGGGGCTTAAAACCCGCACAAAGGCTGGTGCGGGGGGACCTGAAGGTTAAACTGGATCCTTGCCCTGCCTCGCCTCGGGGAGAAACACAGAAAGTCAGGGATAGCCCTGCTGAGGGGCAAAATGGGTGTTAAAACCTGGAGAGGGTTAACGTGACTGGTCCAGTTGCAGTCATTATCCTCAACTCGGGCCTGATATCAAGGTTGAATCACTTGGTGTGAGCCCTGCATCTTCCCACTCCTCCTCAAGCTGCCTCTTCCCAATACCACCAATTCTTGCTGAGGGCGTGTTTGCTGGAGCCAGAGTTCACCTTTTTGGGAGGCTGGGCTCTGGAGAAGCCCCTGTGCATCCATGCATCAATCCTGTCGTCAGTTGTACCTGCGCTCTGGGAATGCCACGGGTGCTGCATACCAGGGTGGTGCTGCACCTGAGGTGTGTTTGCTCCGCATGGAAACCCACTATCAGCTCCTTTATTATTGTTGCATGTACCTGAGGCGTGTAGTAACTGCTCAGTATCACCCAGGTGATGCCTCGCCCTGCCTCAGGTGCAACAATATGCAGTGAGGTGTGGGCTGGAGGCTCTCTACCTCGGTTTATGGTTGTGTTGCAACACCTGAAACGGTTCATTGTTACTTTACTGGAGGAGTGTGTGTGTGGAGCTAGGCCAGATGGTGTATTGTGCCTTCAGAAGGAGTCTAAGAGTCTTTTCAGCTGCCAGGTAATGCGTTATTGCACTAATCCACTTTATATTGTTTCATTTGCACACTAAAGCTGTGCTGCTGCTAGATAAAGATGCAAACGCACCAGTGAGGCTTTTCAGCTCAGTGGTGGGCTGGTATTTAGCACAGGGAAGAGTTTGTGGAGGAGAAATGAGCTGGGCATCGGAGCTGGTGGGCACTTTTGTGTGAGAAGCTCCACCTGACCACCTTAGAAGATGACTTCGAGTTGCACTGAGGGTGCTGGAAGTTGCCTTTCACTTTTCAAAGCGGTGTCCGGTAGGTTATTTGTTGTTGTAGGGCAGAACTGGGGCTGGTTTGGAAATGAGTGCTAGCAAAGGAGTCTCTTTTCGAAGTATGTGCCTTGAAGAGGGCTGGTTGTAAACAGGGCGGTGGGAGGTGGCTGGGAGCCTGCGCTTGTTTGGAGTTGGCCTTTCCTTTGTTTCTCTAAGCTGGCTGTATTTTGATATCAGTGAACCTTGAAGTGTAGCAAGTGGGATCCGTTTAAGCATCTTTCTTTGCATCAAAACAACCCTGAGAAGGCCGGTCTTTGATAGCAGGTCCAGTTTGTGACACAGGGTCCAAAATACACCCACTGGTTTTAATGCTCAGGGATTAAAGGCGTAGTCCTCCTTCTAGGATTTAGGCTGGCTGCAGGCTGTGGTGGTGCTCTTTGCCCAAGAGGAGGCTCAGCACGGGCTTGCTGCAGGTCCAAATGCAGAGCTGAGAGCGACCCTGCAGCTGGGAAAAGCCAGGGGAGGCTATGGCTGGAGCTTGGGATGTGCTGGCAACTCCGGGAACCAGAGGCAGGAGCTGCTTGGTGCTCAGCAGTCTGATTCAGGCTACAGTGGTGTTTGCTGGACTCTCATCTTGCTCTCCTTGGGGAAAATAATGGCTACATATAGTTGTGGTTTGGAGATTTTTTTTTTTTTAGCAAGAAAGATGGCTGAAGTGTAAAGAATTTGCTCATGTAATGAAAGCATAAAATAATGTAGATCTAATTGGTGGGCAGTAAATCCCTGCCCATTTTCCGGTAGAAACAGGGTCAAGCTCATCACCCAGCTATCTCCTTTTAAGGCAGCATTTTCAGAAGCACCAAACCCTCGATGTTTAACCTTTCAAAAGTCATTATTTAGGAAGCATAGAAGGAAAAAGTGCTGGGACCTTGGACAAAGGCATTTCAGATGCTGTCTTTGGGGTGCACGAAACTGAGGTTATAGCAAATGTGTTTGGCTTGCAAATACAATTAAACAGTCTGAAAATTGAATGCAAGTTTGAGCCTGAGGCTGTTAAACATGAAGCTGATTGTTTCACGGTCTCCTGCACAGGAAAGAGTATTGGCTTTGCACTCTATTTATCCTCTTCCTGGGGAAAAGATGAAAGCATTTTATATTCATACAGACAAATATTTGTCTATCTTTCAGATTCTGCCAGTCTCCCAAGGTCGGAGCTTGAACCCTGCGAGATAAAGTCAAAACCACCCCCCTCTTTTCCCAGCCATGCAAACTGCGGGATGAAGCTGGAAGCTGTGGTCGAGCAGCTGCAGAAGCAGCAGCAGAAGCAGCAAACGCCTCTGCAGATGGATTCCAGGGAGAGACAGCAGAGGCAGATGAGGGAAGCCCAGCTGCTCTACACGCAGCAGCTGGCCGTGCAGCAGGCTGTCCTAGCAGCCACATCTGGCAGGGCTTCAGGCGGCTCCACTGTTGGTCCCTTGGCCAGAGGCCCACCTGCAGCCGGAGCTACACGGGCTTTTGATCAGAGCAGCATGAATTCTGAGCCAGAAGAGGAGGAGGAGGATGAAGAGGAGGAGGAGGAAGAAGAGGAAGAGGAGGAGGAAGAAGAAGGGGGTTTAGAAGGCGGCGATCTTGAGGATGGCGCTGATGTGACTGGGAAAGAAACCTGCTCTGCTCTGAAATATTTCCATGCTTCCAAAGTTGCCCATCACAACCAAAGAGTGGCTTCTACCTCGAATCCTCTGCCAGCATCAGGCCTCCAGCGGGGACAGCAGGGCAAGGAAGAACAGGGTAAAGACACTAGTAAGCAGCCGTATGCCGGTTCCCCGTCTGGACGCCAGAACTGGCGCTTGGATGAGCAGCTCAAGCAGGTCAGTCTTAATGTTACTTCCTTCTAAGAAAACCCAGATTCAGCCAGACCGGGAGTTTCTTTAGCCTGGTACGCTGTTACAGGAGCTTTGGAAAGAGTGGGAGAGCAGGGCATGTGCAGAGTAATGCTGCCCTGGCTTGTTCTATTATAAAGAGATAGCTCAAGAGCTTGATTTGCTTCACAGATACTCTCAGAACCTTTGTGAGTAGGTAGAGTTTTGATCCTTGGCTCGTTTATTATCTTCTATCTCCCTGCTGTGCTGCCACTCAGAGGGAGCAGGCTGGTGCTATATTTATTTTGGGTGCAGGCACTTGCCTGCTAATGCCTTGAGTTACTTCACATCTATAACCCCTTTGTGTAAGACCTGGGGGATGCTGTGTTGTTGGCTGGATTTCTGGTTTGTGATGTGGGAAGAGCATATGTCCTGATCCTTTGGGGAAGCAGAGCCGCTCTATTTCATGTGTGGGAAGGGAAGTGCTGATTTGCTACTGCTTAGTTTTGGCAGGAGGTTAATTCTGCCTCTGAATGAAGAATTACTACTCCTTGTAGGTAGATGCCAGAGGATCAAGGATTCTTTTCTAAGTGGGTATTTCAGTTAATGTAGCACTTGGGTGCTGTTTTGTTCCAGAGCTAACTTGAGCAGGCTGTCAGAGACTTATGCAGCATTTATAGGTATTGAAATTGAGCTAAAGGACTGCATGGTTTAAATAAGGATACAGTAGGACTGAATTGTCCTTTTCTACAGATGTTAACCTGAGTGTGAAAAGGGTTTGCTTCAGGTAGAGTTCTTTGAGCTAAGAAACTGTGGACAAAACCAGAGCTGGTTTTCCTTACCTCCCGCAAACCCTATGGAGGAAGGTGGGAGCTGCTTTGTGCTGGCTGATGAACATGGGTGTTTGAAGGCTTGCTGTGGGCTTTCTGGCCAGGTTCTCCCCTTGGTTGCATGCATGAGATCGTTCATTTCATGCTGCCACAGGCAGCAGTTTGATGACAAACTGCTAAAGCTCAGCAGCCTTTAGTTTTTCTCCTGTTCCATAAGGCTCCTGCCCTGCGAACCAGGACCACTCTGGTGTTTCTACACTGCTGCGTGGCAGGAACTCCTCTGAGTGATGAGGTGAATGGCATTTGTACTCTTGGTCCTGTAAAGTGTGCTGGTGAAGTAGCCCTGGTGCATGGGATGCAGCAGGCATCTAGCTCCTGCTGTGTTTTCTCTGGGTGTGCTTCTCAAGAGGGGTTAGGTTGAAAGAAGTTGTTGTAGGGACATGAGGTGGGTATGACAGGGGATGCTTGCTAGAGAAGTTGCTTCTGTATTTACTGGCTTGGAGTAACTTCCTCTTCAAGGTCTCTGGGTGGAGAATTATAGGCAGGGCTCTGGAGTTAGGGGGATCACGTTCAAAATAACCCCAAATAAGCTTAGCATCTTTGGCTGGTTTTATGTCTAGCTCAGCTGGTGCTAACAGGATGTCTTTGTGTTTCTTCCCAGTATTTGCTTATCTTGTGAGAGTCCTGGGAATCTTACTGAATCAGTAGGCTTGATTCCTAGGTCATTTGCCTATTCTTGGAAGATGACCATTAAGCAAGCTAGATCTGGTCTGAGCTGATTTGGTATAGCAAAAAATATAAGGATAAAAGCACTGGTTTACAGCTGGCGTGTTGTGCACTAACACCGATCCAGTTGCTATGGCTCGTTGCAGCAGTAACCAAAGCAGTGTTTTGGTAGAAGACTGTACCTTAGTCTGATGTCAGACCAGCTTTTTCTGGAAGCCAGAGTGCACAGAGCTTCCCCAGGAAGCCAAACTAAAAGGAAACGTGGTGTTTGGAGATGGAATACTGGATTTCCAGTACAGCCCCAGTAAGGCATAACTTATATTCGTAGTGGTACCGGTGAACTCTCATTAAGGTGCTCAAAAGGCCATACTGAAGTGGCCAGTATTAGTGATGCTGTTGCAGAATATTCACCTTGGGCAGGGTAAATATTGCAGATGAACTTGTTTGTATTCACCAGTGCAGCCTGCATAGCAGGGAGTAAAAATTTAACTGCAGTGTACCAGTTCTGAGCTGGTAAGGCTTGCTGGAGATGTGGGAATGAATGTGGTGGGCAGACAAGAGCTGTTAGCTGGCATGACAGCTTGACATTCTTATTTCAAAGGCTTACTTTAAAGATACTGGGGTTTTTCTTCTGGCTTTGTCTGAAATGGTTGTGCTAAGCTGAAAAAGCCAGGATGAAATGCAGAAGAGCCTGTGTTCTCCAGTTGGTTTTCTAAATGCTTCCTCATCTTGCCTCTTTTAGCTCTTCTTGAGATGGAGGCTAATAACCGGTTGGGATACACTGCTTCCAGCTAGCTCTGCTCTGGGAGTATTTGTGGTATGCGTAATGGCTCTTGCTTGCAGAAGGAGGGGGGGAAAGTCACTTCTATTTCTTCTTTCAAGTGTAGATTGTGCTTCTGAAAGTGATGCCCTTGGAGAAAAATGTATGTTGAAAGTGTATTTAACGCTGCCTGGAAGGTACGTGGCGTGAGGATGGCAGAAAGGTGGAATCTACCAGCAAGATGAAGCCCCATTCTGTTCCATCCTGGACAGCCAAGTAAATAATTGTAGAACAAGGCAGCAGACAAAAGAGCTGGCTCAGCTTACGGCACAGGGGCGGTGGGAATCTTGTCAGCACAAAACAACACGGGAGTGAGTGCAGTTGCTTGTCAGGGAGTTGCAGGCCCGAAAGAAGAGCTGGGGCGGGGTGGGGGGGCTGTGCTCAGCTCGCTTGAATCCCCTGAAAATCCATTCCAAATCCTGGGAAAAGGGTGTTGTGGCTTTGCCTGTCTTTGAAGGAAGCTGAGGCTTTAATTCTGTGGGTGAAAATGATGCTTTTAGCAGCTGGAAGGTGTGGGTCCTCAGCCCATGGCTTCTCACATTGCTTGGGGATGGCTCTGGTTACCAGGGAGAGCCGTGCAGGGAAGGCAGGACCTCTGCATTGCTCCTTTCCCACTCCAGGCTGGTGTGCAGCACTACCAGGAGCGGTTTTGCCAGGCTGTTTACTACAGCACACACATGAGTATGTGCGTTCCTGGGTGGAATGTAAAAATGAAGCCAAGGTTTTCAGGCATCAGCTGATATTAATGCTGTCTTAAACACAGCAAGGTAAGTCCCTGTGAAGCAGCTGTCTGAGAGTGGTTTGTGATCTGCTTTTTGGGGGTGTTTCATGGTAGATTCTCAGAAATCACCAGTTACTCCTGAAAATCCTGCCCTAAACTTCAACAAAGGTCATGGGGTTTATTAAGATAAGTCAGCTTAAAATAATTACTTTGCTTTTGCTCTAGGGTCTAGGAATGAGCGGCTGAGATTCCAGAACCTTTAAGTATGTGCCTCAAGTGGTGTGTGTATTGAGGTATTGCTCAGGAGATACTCATTAATCCAGTGGGGGTGAAGGTCCCAGGGAGAAAGAAGTTGCATTTCACACAGTGTATTTTTGCCTCAAAGTTATTTCAGGTGTCCAGGGCCCAGTCCATAAGGATTTTTAATTCCTTATGTGGGTCACTCAGTATCTTTGTGATGGTGTGGGCAGGGAATTCTTCATGAAGAGCTCGTGTCAGATAGTTGGTTTCTCTCTTACTGAAAGCTGTTTTCTGTAAGGACATGAACTTCTCTTGCAGTTCATGGCTTAGGCTTGAAGAAGTCTTCATCCCCATGACAGCCTGCTTCTGCCTTAGCACCTCACTTGGTGTTCACTTCATCATCAGTGACGGGAGCAACAGTCACCTTTTTTGTTAGGACATCAAGTATGAGAGAGGAGAACCAAGAAAACAGCTTGTGATGATGACTGGAGGCAGCAGCCTACAAACAACCTGTATTAGACACCAGAGAATTCCCCCAGCTCTTCATCTCAGGAGGCAGTCACATAGGCTTCAGCAGGGCTATGTAATACTGCAGTGACTGTGCTAAATCTGGATGCAAAGGAGCAGAGTGAGAAGCTCATTTTTTATATCCTGGGGAAGAGAAGGCTTATTTTAGCATCTTTTTACAGGTGCTAAGTTTAGGAATAGTTTCAGCTTCTCTTGGTGCCAATTTAGAGACGTTCCAGCTGATGCTGGAGGCAGGAGGTGGGAAGGTGCTCGAATGTGTTGTCCTCTTACACTGTGTTTCCTCACTTCAGGGTGAATCTGAGACTCTCCTGTGGCAGTGCGAATTTCTCTTCCCACAGCCATTATAGCACTGAACAAATCTTCTTGTCACTTAGGTTTTAGTTAATTCCTCTGAGTGTTTGTGAATAGGAGTCATTCACAAAGAGCCCAACTTTTCCTTAAGGATAAGGAAGCAAAGAACTACATTAGTGCTGCACTCACTAGGCCTTAATAAATAAAGGCAATTAATCTGTTAACTTCAATCTGTTCTTTTTCTTCCCCATCCTCCCTGCAATTCCTGCCATCACTCCAAGGTTTTCCAAAGCAGGCTTTGAAGCTTGCAGCTATTGAATTGAGCTGTTATTAGTCAGACTGGGAAGGGTTTATTCCAGTTCCAGCAGAGCTTGTGCACGCAGTAATTATAACTTGGTTCTCCATGCTTGAGAACTTGCAGCTCAGGGCTGTAGTCCTGATCTTATCAGCGGTTTGTAGTACAACAGTTTTCTTTCTAATAGCATCTGTTTCACTTCCTAAGGCTTAACTCAACCCACAAAAGGAATTTGGGGGATTCTCTGATAATCCTGAAATTGCTGCCCCTCTACCTTTTCATTGACTCAGTGCTTTCAGTTAACTCATGGGGTAGGGGAGGGGCTTTCTTTTGCTTTGCAACCTTTAGCCTTGGCCCTAAGTGGGTATTTCAGCAGGTTTCTAGCCTGAAAGCTGTCAAGACTGCAGGTCTGCAGTAAGGAGGTGCAGAATGATGCTGAGTTTCACACCAGAAGGTTTTGTTTCCCCTTTGCTTTTACATATTAAAGCTTTAGTGGGTTCTCTCCAGTTCAGTTTCCCATTTGAATGCAACTTGGTAGTCTGAGAAAACCTCAGTGAGCTTTAGCTGAGCTTCTCTCAAACAGCTGGAGCAAACTGGGGGAGAAGGGAATGACCTGGAAAAGGAGCATTTCCAGTTTCTCATCAAGGTCCCAGTTTGCACACTAACTGCAGCTTGCGCAGGCAGGACTGGAGGAGATGTTGAGCTGTTCTGTTTGCCTTAATACTTCATGTTGAGCACAGGGGGTTGATTAGTTTCTTGGCCTCCATGAGGGACAGACATGTGAGATGGGAACATTTGAGAGGGGCTGAGGCTGCTTGTTTATAAGGGTTTTGTCCTCAAAAGAATGGGCTGGGCAAAGGAGGAAAGCGTCCTCCCCTTTTCTTGTCTGCTTGGCAACTCAGGGTTAACTCTGCCTTTTGAATGTGGGATTGGAAACCAAAATTGCTCTGGACATCTGAGCTTCCCTCTAATAAGATATTCCAGGTGGTTAGGGAGTAATCCTAAAATAGGTCCAGATATAATTGCTTCTGAAGCCAGGTCTGCAGCCTCTGGGGCAGGGGGAGCCCTGGGGGGCTCTGATGGAGGTGTCTGCAGGGGGAAGGCAGCGGAGGTGGCCAGCCCTTCCCGACACCTCTGCCTTCTCGCTCGGGCTTTGCATTGAGGGCTTCTCCCACCTCCTTCTGCAAGAAAGCCGATAAATTCCTGCCGGTGGTGATGCAAAGGCTGTTTGTCAAACATCAGCAAATTCCCCTGATGCAAACAGGCAGAGGGAGAAGGAGGACTCTCCCCAGAGAATGCCCTGCTTCTCTCAACAGTGTTTTTTCCTTCCTGCTACTATTGCCTGACTTATACAAAGGTCTTTTAATGACTTGTGAGGATATATTGATTTCTCAGGTTCCTGCTGTTCGTACAGAGGAGGGCTTCTCAGCATAGGGTAACTTTGTTTTCCTAGGAGGAATGGAAAGGAAGCTTGATACCAAAGCTCCTGCTGAGCTCTCTTGCTGTGCAAAATGTAGTTTATTCTGCATGTGAAGCATCTCTTGCATCAGGAGCTGCTTCAGGAGCTTTGTGGGGCTCTTCCCTGATTTACCCCTTCCAGTCGTGCTCGAGTCGCTGTTCTGAACCCTGCCAGTGTTTGATACCTTCTCTTGTAACCTTGGCACGGACCCAAAGGTTTTGGAGAGCAGTGGTCCCTCAAGATCAAAGCTGAGCCTGGGAAAGCGCCTGTAGTGCGTGTACTCTGCTCTCTGAATAAATAAGGCTTTATTCCCAGCTGCTGAGCTGACATTTCACACTAGCCCGAGACTCTGCGAACTCTGCCACCCAGAGGAAACCTGTGCTCTGTCCTCAGGCCTCCAGCTTGTGCTGGTGTACACTGAGGTGCATGAGAAGCCCTCTCCTTATCGCCTCTGATAGCTTAACATGGGGAGTGGTAACTGGCTTTAAACCTTTGCAGCTACTGCAGGAGGAAATGCTAATGCTGGCTGCTGGCTCTCACCTCGGCTCACTCCGTGTCATGCCAGGTTAGATCCATCTCTGCCACTTTTCTGGACATATGGTGAAACACTGGTGGCTTCAGCAAGCTTTAAGCTCCTTTTCACTAGTGGGATGTGGGGGAGCATTACTTCTGTGCCCTCAAGCATCTTAGGGTGTATTAATGGAAGTAGGTTGTAGGTATTCTGCTTATTCTCGGTATCAAACCTTAATCTTGGCATTCTTTTCCAGTTACCCCTTGTCTTCACATAGGGAAAGTAAAATAACTTCTCAAGAGACTTTAATCCCATGGAAAGTTTTGTTCCTTGACATTTTAGCAATTTCAAACCCATTGGCAGTAAAGAATTGTCTCCTTTAAGCCCTCTTCTTCCTGTCCCTTCCTCAAATGTAGCGGAATAAGCTCTCAGCATGACCAGAGTTCCCAATGAAAGCAAGTGTTTTGCTTCCTGGAGCACCCAGTTTAACACCAGAAGCAGTTTTGCCCTCTGGATTTATAAGCAAATACCCACTTGGGAAGAAACTGGCTCAGCTCCCTCTAAATCATTGTGCTTTGGAGTGTGTAAAGTTGAGGATGGGAACTACCTGCTGCCTTCTGAAGTGACCCTCTCTTGTTCTAACTGGTCACACAGGTTTGTTGATCCCGGTTAACAAGCAGGAGGGGTTGAGGAGCAGCTGGATGTTGCCATAATTAGCAAAGCCCTGTGGTTTTTATCTCTGCTAGCAAAGGACACCAAGACGAATCCTCCTGTGAACAAAACCAGGCTTCAGATCCCTTCCTAGAGAGGGCTGGGAATTGATCTGCTGCAATAAACAGCTGACATAACAGAAGTGGCAATAATCCCCCATTAAATATCTTTCAGTTGATGGGACTCACTGGATAATTGACTTTCCAGGAGGAATTACTGGCTCAAACTAAATCAGCAGGCATTAGGGCAGCTCACTGCAGTGTTGTTTAAAGGGGGAAGTGTAGCTTTGCCCGGCCTTGACGGGAGCTATTCATCTTTCTAATTCAATGGATGTGTCACAACCAGATGACTCCGAGATTTCAGGTATTGGACCACCTCTCTAATTCACATGCTGGCTTTTCTTGTGCTGAAACCTTTTGCTCTCTCTCCTCAGTGCTCTTCTGTGCTAGGATGCTGTGTGTTTATCAGGACAGGGTAATCAGAGGTACTGGGTTGAGTGGATTTGGCTCTTCTTTTGCATTGAGTGGCTCTGGAGCACTTCAAGAAGTTGATGGTTTAAAGATGCTTGAATGTATCTCATCATCATTCACCTGGCCTCTGCCATACTGCCAGAGGCTGCTCCTTCTGGTGATCATTTCAAGCTGATGATTTACCAAGTGGAATAGGCCCAACTAGAGTAATCCCTTTAATGCCTGAGAAGAATGAACCTTAATCCAGCAAAGCTGAGCTTTCCATTTCTATGAGGACAAGCCACGTCCGGCAGCTTCCAGGAGGAAATGTCCTGGGTGGGCAAGAAGCTTTCCAAGGGGTTTATCTCCCTCTTCTGGTTTGGCAGGCAAGCTGGGGGAGGACAGAGGGCATTTCCAAGTGTTGCCTGGTAGGAGGGAGGGATGCTTGAGTAACACCTGCACCTTTCCTAGGGGCTCTAGGATGAGCACTTGGTAAAAGGATGGACACAGAGCATCTCTTTAGGTGCTGAACCTCACTGCAGCAGAGCACCTCCTACAGGGTTCAGCAGATTGAGGACTTTCCTCTGGAATGGCTTTTCCTGGTGCCAAGACAACTTCTTGGTGATGCAATTCCATGGGTTAAAACTTAGGGCTGGAAACTTCCCCTGCCTTCAGTAGCAGCCTGGAAGGTGAAATGCCACTTCCCTTTCCAGGGAAGTGAGATGGGACAGATGCACCAATGTCCCCTGTCTTTCTGGTCATCTTGGTCTAAGCCAGCAGCTGCTTTTGCATGTGTGTTTGCCCCCAGATTGCCTATTTGGAAGCGTTTGGAACTGGCTGCAAAGCCTGTCCATGCAGATCCTTACATCCTGTCGTTTCCCTCTCCCTAGAATGGCAGCGTGACCTGGAGCGATGAAGGTGATGGATGCAGAGGAAGAGAAATTTCCCGAGACTTTGCCAAGGTCAGTGGGATCATGGGATTTGAGGGGGGTTTTCCCCTGATCTGTGCCAGAGGGTCACTGTGGAGCCCTCACTATTCCCCTGTAGTGAATTTGTAACTAAACTGCTTTGTTCTGCCTACAGACCTGCTGTTTTGGGGCTATTTTGTTGCTTTTGCTGACTGGAATATGGTTTGAACTAAGACTTACTAACCTGACTCTAGGCATTTATAATATTAGTCAATACTTTTTGCAGCTGAGAGAAGGGTGGTTTGTTTCTTGAACCTGGATTTGAATGTGGCAGCTGTGTGTCACACCAGCCAGAGGAATTCATTTGAAACCAAGCTGGCTCTTTCTGAAAGGGGGCAGCTAATTGCTCTGCAAATACACTGCTGTGTTCTCTTCCCCGAGCTGGGATGTGAGAAAGCACAGAGCTTCACAGGAAATGAGCCCAAAAAGCCCCTCTTCTCCTGGACTGGGTGAATACCAAGTAGCTAGCAGCACCCACAGAGAGGCTGGAATATGTATTTCCCAGGGAATCTTCGCTTTTCCATTGAGCTGCTCCACAAGCAGCACATAATTCCCTGGAGTGATGCAGGATTCCTCCTCAGTGCAGACAAGAGAAGATATTGAACTCTTCATGTAGAGTGTTGTCTTCTCTCTTGTCATCTGTCCTGTATCTCGGTGAGGGATGGACTTGAGCCCTCTCAGCCTGTCACTTTGTGGCCTCATAGGATTCTTGCTAGGTGAGAATTAGATCTTTCGGGGAAGAGGCAGTTGTGAGATGACACTCATGCTTTTCCCTTCTGAAAAGCAGTGGCTAATGCTAACACACAGTGCCTCTCCTTTGGAATAGCTGCCTAGGGAGCTTTAAGTGCTTAGGTGGTTAAGCCTGTTGGTAAAGTGATTTCTGCAGCTAATTTCCAGGCTGGTTTCTGCTAGTTTTGAAGGCTTTGGGGCTTATTTTAGAGGACTCCTTCCTGCAGGCATTAGTAGTTACAGGAAAGCTCACTCCTTTCCTCTGCTCCTTCAAGGGATCAGTTTGTCACTTAGGTGACAATCCCTAAAGGAGGGAATCCTGAGGCTGGGAGAAGCTGCAGAGAGCTTAACCCATCTGATGCTTCAAGGGTACAGACACTAAGCTGCCCTGAACCACTGTCACCTTCCTTTGGGTTGTCTCATCTTTCTGTCTCGCTTGCCTTAATACTTCCTCTCCCCTTTGCTTTCAGGTGGTTTCAAACCCTGCTCTGTAGCAGTGCTGTTAACTGGGTCGAATCCTGTTCCCTTTGGGGCACTGGTCTCTGCTGTGCCAGGATGAGTTACTGAGGGGCTGAGCAAGGCAACCAGTAAGAAGGATCTTTTAACTGGCACAGCAGCCTTGGCCACCAGAGCACTCAGGAATCCTTCCTTGTTTTGCATCCAGTGCAAGCACCAGATCCCCACTGGAAGAAGCTGATATTATTACTTGATTTTCTGTTGCATTGTGGCTTGTGCCTTCATCCTTATTTCCCTCCTATAGCTCTATGAACTGGATAGTGACCCTGAACGGAAAGAGTTCCTGGATGACCTCTTCATCTTCATGCAGAAGAGGGGTGAGTAAGCATTTGTTTGAACTTGGATGTGGTACAGTGGGGCAAAGGGGTGCTGCTGCCTGTGACTTCTTCCCTTCTGAGCTTGAAAGAGCACCTCCAACCCTTGAACTTGCAGATCAGATGGAAGAGCAGTGGTAAGACTTCAGATCTTCGCCCTGGGAGAAGGAGCATGGTAGGAAAGGACCTGCCTTGTAGCTTAGTTACACAGATGCTATTTCTTTGTCCTCCTACCTAATATTCATGTTGTCCATGCATTGAAGAGATGAAGAAGCATGGTTCCCCAAGGAACCCAGCACCATTAGAAATTCTCTGGTCTCCCCCTTCATGTGGTATGATCACACATCTTCTCGTGTTCGATTTCATTGGCATTTGGAAGCTGAGTATGAATGCCTTCACAGCCTGCATGGAGTAGCAGCATACAATCTGGGGACTGGGAAAACAGACACCAAGCCACATTTCCCTGCAGATTGGCAATGTGTCAGCTTTCTGTTCAGTTATCTTGTGTAACTGAGTGAGGAGGTGCCCAGTTTCTCACATTCCTCCCTGTGGTGTCACCAACTTGCATCTCTCTTGGCTGCAGGAGCAGTGATGCACATGTGAAGGAGCTCAGCTGGGATGCCACAAGTCTTTGTCCCCTAGTTATGAAAGCTCAGTCCCCTCATTGCAAACTGTTCATCATAAACATGTACATAGATGTGCTATTGTGTAAAATAGACATCTGAACATGTGTGGTAGATCCTTTGTGGTGCTCTCCTCCTTTACCCCTCCAGGCCAGACACTCTTCAACAAAGACATAAAGCATAAAACTGTGCTATAGACCTTTTCTTTGTTCCCAAAGAGTCTGCTGAAGGGAGGTGTGAAGAGCAGATGTATAAAGGACCCTTTCCATCCTCATGGCATGATGCTTTCAGAGTGTGCTGAGGCAAACAAGCCCAGTCATGCTTACTTGGAAGTGGGGCTGCCTTGGTGTCACCAGTATTGTTCCCTGAGAGTCTCATAAAGGATAAAGCTGCACCACCTCAGCCTTATCTATTTGAAGGTGATCTGGTTGCTGCGTTGGAACTAGAGTCTTACTTCCGGTTGGTTTTTGAGCCCTGCATCTTCAGATGCATCCTGCTGTGTGGATGAGGGAAGAGGGAAAGCGATCCTAAATGCAGCTATTCCAATTGCCCTTCATATCCATGTCTGTTTTCCCTGGCATGACCTGGGTGAGCTTTCCCTCTCCTGCAGTTTGAGATTGTGCTGCCCAAGGCAGGTAAAAATGAGAGCTGGGTTTTGCTGCTGGGTTTGGCTTTTGTGTGCAGAGGCATAACCAAGCTTGATTAGTTTACCTGCCCATGTTAACCTGAGCTCAACTGTTAATGTAAGGGCTGGGATGCCTGACAGACAAGACAATCATCTGCAGGGTTTGACTGGCAGCAATAGAAACCTCCAGCTACCCAGAGAGAAATCTGCTTCATACTTCAGTGTCTCCTTCCTATTCCCTTTCAATTATTCATAACTGACACATTGCCCATGCAGGGGCTGAGCTGGTCACCAGCTGCTTGCTGGCGGAGTTGAGCTTTTAATCATCTGGGCATTCCCAGTGCATTTGTTTGCTGGGGATTCCCTTGGGTTTGTGCTTGCTGGAAGGACTGTAACTGAAATCTAAAGGGCCCAGGACCCATGGGGGAGAGATGTGAACTGGACAGTCCTCTGCCAGAGGGGCTGGAAAGGTTTGGCCCTCACTGTCCAGTGATGGATGCAGCTCTAGCCTGGGCACTTGGCAAACTGCTCCTGCCTGCAGCATCCTCAGCAGCAGGCAGAACAAATCCAACCTCCTCCATGCTGGGAAGCTGGCTGAGTTGCAGAGTATGGGTAGTTACGGGCTTGCTGTACGTCTGGGTCCCCCCAAAAGCAATAGGGAGAAGGACTCTGGGGAGCTAAACACCTTCAGGTTGATAGAACTGACCAGCATAGGTTGAGCTAAAGGAGGGAGCTTCTCTTCTGTCAGGAATGTGAGCTGCTGTGTCCTGCTGCACAGGAGCTCTCTTAACTTGGCCTGTTTCTTCAGCAGCTGTACGGCAGCTGAGAGCAAAGTCCTGTGTTTCTTAGCTCCTATGTGTGAAGAGCTGCTTCATTTGCACCTCGTTTCTGAAGGGACTGGAAAGCAGCTCTGCTAATAAACATTGCTGGTGTAAAGATGGGGCTTTTGCTGTTGTCCAGGAGAAGCCCCCCCCCCACACCTTGTTTGGGGCTGCTGGATTTGAAGCACAGATTGCTAACTGCTGCTGCACCAAAAAGCCTGATGTGGAAGATAAATGCCCCATTTCACAGGAGCTACTGAGTAGTTGGAGGGATGAAAAGATTCGGTGGTTGGTGCTGCTGTTAGGAATGTACCTCGAAATGTGGAGCCATGAAACAAGCTTAATACAGATCAAATGTGCAGGTCTCATCTGCCTCTGAGCACAGCAGGTTGTCCCTGAATGACCACAGCTGCAAGTGATAAAATGGCCCTTCAGTGGCAATAATGATGGAAGAGGGAGATGAGAGGAAGGCTGTAACTCTTCTTTTGTTGGATGTTTTATTCCTTGTATGTGTTTAGTTATATGGGTCCCACCATGGCTGTGATTGAAGGGGCAGATGGGGTGAGGAGGGAAGAGCAGTTAGTGTGCAGGACTAGCTTTGAACCAGGCCTGTGACAGGACTGACCTGATGCCACTTGACAGGGATGATGTTCACTATATTACCACTTCCACCTTCTCTTTGTCCAGCTTTTCCTCAGTCTCAACCCAAAAGTTGTCTTTCCTTGGACTGAGTGGGGATAAAAACCTTCAGCCGTGGCTTCCCTCCATCTTCATTGCTGATCTGGGGGCTTGTGACAGGTTGAGCCTTGATGGCTTGAGGTCTGAGTTCTCCAAAGCTGTATTCTTAACCCCCTGCTGCATGAGGAGCTGCTCTCTGGGCTAGTTTGTGGTTCAGGGTGTTGTAAAGGCCACTGGCTGGGGCTTCTCTGCTGGTGCCCTCTGGAGGGGGTTGCATTGCAGGCATGGAGGCTGGATTTGTTCTGCCTGCCACTGAGGATGCTGCAGGCAGAGCAGTTTACCCAGACTAGAGCTGCATCCATTACAATAACTCAGGATAATCTTGTGTTTGCCCCATCTTTTGTATTACTAGAAAGAATTGTATAACAGCAATGTATGCAACCAGATGGGCAAGTTCATTTACTGGGCTCAGACTTGGTGTCAGAGAGACCTTCCACCCCTTTTCAGGGAACTGAGCTGATTGTATCCCACTAGTACTGATTGGGAGAGCACTGGAGTAGTGGGGATTGTTTGATCCCCTGGAAGGATCAGCAGTGTTCATGCAAGACATGCCTCTAGAAGGGTTTGATGGGGAAGAGATCCAAGCGCGTGCTCTGGTGTGTGAGGAAAGGCTGCCTTGCAGGGGAAGCTGTTTGGTTCGTTTGAAGTACTGCCTTTGTGAAGACCTCATAAAATGTCTCCGATTGTAGAGCTCTACTCGTGCTGGTCAAGGTTTGTGCCTGACCTTGGTTTTCCCAGATGGCTTGACCATTCAGGGGCTTTATGTGTATACACATAGAAGGGGCTTTGTGAGTCAGAGCGTGTGGTTTTAATGTTTTCCTGCTGTTGGATGCTCTGTCTGCACGTTTGGATGGGGAAATACAACAAATCCAGGGTATTGACAAAAGCATTTACTGGTGGATTCCTCTGTCTATGAGCCAAGGTGTTTATGAAATGGTTGGTCAGGGAATACACTTCAGTTTTCTACTGATTCCATTTTGCTGGGTTCTTCTTTTGATCCTCTTGGGGTCTTTTTGAATCTGCTTTAAGCAACATAGCTCCTGAAATGAGACATCAATAGACATAAATTCTCAGCATCCTTTGCTCGTGCTACCTGCTTACTGCTGAGCCGCAGCAAATGCTTCCCTGAATAGCAACTGATGTTCTGCAGTGGGAAAGGTCTCACTTCAGGCACTGCAGAGGTGTCTTCTGGATGGTCCCCATCAACCAGACAGAGTCCTCTTCCCCAGCAGAGCCTTGGGTTTGTACACAGCTACGTCTCTGCCTCCTGCACCTCCTTTAAAGAGCCTCTTCTTTGGTCAGCTGTGCCTAGCCTCAGGAAGAGTGAGGACTGTTGTCTTGTGCAGATGGTGAGCAGTGGGAATCAGTGAACTATTGTAGGGTTTTACCTTTATATTGTTAGAAAGAATGGCTTTCCCTGAAGTTGCAGGGCCAACTGGCACTTTGCTTCACATTCCTCAATATTCTTTAAGTGCTTTGAGCCTTCCAGAGCAGGGAACAGAGAACTCCATGCACTGAAACACTTCTGAGGGATGCGGGATAAAATCACGTGCAAAGCAAAGTGCTTGGGAGCTCTGGACAGCTTGAATCCAGCTCCTCTGGGGATGCCCGGGCCTGGCCCTGAGGTAGGGCTCTCTGCAGCTTCCAGAAAGCTCTTGCAGGGAATGTTTTGCTCATCAACCACAGGTGCCCGGTGACTAAAAGTCCCCACCAGCTACATAAGGTGGTATTCTGGGGGAGTTTACTTAGGCTGGTTTGCAAACTGCAGTAACTTAGAAGTAGTTATCAGCAGGTCCTTCCCATGAAACCCAAACTTCCTCCCCCTTCTGTTTTCAGCCATCAGAACATTCATTGCAGACTTGAGGCATGAGCTTTTTCTCTCTGATTTGAAAAAAGCCTGGAAATTCCCCATATTTGGAGGGAGAATACACAGCTTGATTCAAATAATGGATATCCCTTGGCTTTAAGCAACTGAAACCTCGTGGTTTAGAGTGAAGATTGCTTTAGCTCCAAGAGAAATCATATTGGAAGCTGCAGTTGTAATGGGAAAATACTGTTAGAAGTTGCCTTGGTTCTGGCTTCCAGGAGATTTAGGTTTAGCCAGCAGAGAGGAGGTTTGAGCAGCTGAAATGTGTTGGTATGAACTGAGGTGGCACTGGACAAGGCACACACATGAATTGGAAAGGACTGGGGGGT